GTCTAGGGTAAGAGGACCAAAACTAGATAAGGGTAATCACAATAGATCTTCTAGGTTGCAGTGATCGAGAGGTCTCCCAGCCTATACGACCCATTTACAATCTACAATCTACAAGATTCAATATGCTCTTCTTACTTCAAGTACTAGTATTGAGTATCCAAAATATGCTTTAAATCTCGCTTTAAATACGTTAATACTCTTTTTAGGGACATGATTATCAAATATGGTGTATACATTTTGGGCAGTTGTTTTCCCCTCTGTGTATCTGACTTCCACGGTGATGACTGGGGTTCAACCCCTGCGAGGCGTAATTTTTTTGTCACTCAAGTCATTTTTCAAAAATATACTTTTCCGGAAAACGGTTCATTTAGGCCAAGTTAGGGAAAGTAGTTTCCTTTTCCATGCGGAAAAGATAGAATTCAGGAGGGGTGAAAGAACTCAAAGTCACAACTCCACCTTATAAACAATTTGATGATGACCGACGGTCATGGACAAAAGGAGATTTTTCGAAGGATTAATCATTCATCATCAGCAAATTTATAAAAACGAGGAAGTCATTATTGGTATATTACTGAACCTAAAACACTATTTTTACACCGAGGTGTCGAAATATCTGATAAATGAAACACTGACGTCAATTTCAGTGAAATTCTCTGCCACATCAACCTAATCCTCACTTCGTTATCTTAGGTGACCCGCATTATTCTCAAACGTCTGAATCTATATTGACCAGCAACCCTCGATCGGACCTTCTGGAATGTTTACATTCGTTCTAGAGGGTCAATTATTGTCACTCCACCACCACCTATTCACAACTAAATCTAGGATGCCAATTTGACTATATAGCGAGGAAATCGCCTGAAATAATATTGGAACAATGAACTTTGGGATTATACTCGTTGTTGTAACATAAAGTAAACCTTATTGACTGCCTTTCCATCGGGCCGTAAGAAAATGGTAGCTAAGTGCACAGGGTAATTGAAATAATATCACGTAAACGGTAAAATTCTCATATAGTACGAAATACCCAAGAAAATACCTATCGCTCTGTATACGGACTGTTTATCGAATCGTTACATGTAGGAGTAAATATAGGCGGATCCAGGAGGGATCATGGGGGTCATGACATCCCCCCCCCTCCCATTGGGCCCAGGTGAACTGGTGATTTTTCTGTGAAAATTTCCAGATACATCGTATAAGGTCCTAAAAATGAGGTTGTGAATCAATGATAATCTAAAATATGATTATCAAGGCCTATTTTTATTTTATTGATGAATCAACATTCCAAAAACGATTATTTGGCAATTATTTTTCGAAATTCTATTCAGGTGTACCTGAAATGCCCCCTCCAAAATTCCAACGTAATATTTCAGGGTGTTAGTTATTCAATGGCAAATTTTAATATTTTTGTTTTTCAATTATCTCTGTGTATGAAAATCTTATCAATTGATGTAACCGCTGAAGTAGTCATTCAATGAAGGAACAATTTTTCATTAATGATCCACATTCTTTTTCTGAAAATAGAATAATAAAACAATGCAAAATAATATAAAGATTGGGAAAATAATTTTCTAATGATACTAATGCTAGTATTTCTTTCCCTACTGCCGATTGATTTCGATTCAGCAAGGTTAACGACACCTACAGACTATATACAGAGCGGTTTCGAGCTTTATTTGCTCTCATCGGTGTAGGGTAGTCTCACCTCATTCCCCTCTGAGCATTGTGTCTATATCGTAGTTGACATATATAGGAGAACAACGCTCACCGAGGCAGTTATGCAATTTAATTCCAGCGGAGAGTAGCAAAGACGTACGATAGCCGAATCATGTTGTCATTCACATGCCCTATAGGTATGTATATAGTTGGCAAACAATAATCCGTATAGTTTACAGCTTTGAGCAAATAGGAGTGACTCCACCAATACTTCTATAAATCTTCAAATAGAGGGGGACTCCACCAATATTTCTATTCATCTTTAATTAGGAGGTACTCCACCAATACTTCTATACATCTTTACTGTAATCAATTATTGCAATTATTGCAATGAAAAACCACAACAAAGCCTCTTGAATAAACCCCAAACCATAATACGAGTCGAAAAATCATCAAGAGAATAAGAGTAATACGCGGCGGCTGGTATTTCAATATTGAATAATATGTCCAGGCACCATATCCCTTTTAATCCCTAAAACGACAAGCGGCGTTCCTAAACAAAGACCCAACTCCAAACAGTGGAAGCGAATTGCGAGAAATTATAATTATACGGGTGTTTCATATTCGATACAGCGCGACAATAGGATAAGCTCCTTACTGCGAGTTTTGATAAGAAATATAAGGGAAATATCCATTTCAAATGGCGTAGGGTGGATAATTTGAATTGTGGAATGTGGATGCAAGAAGTAGGTTATGACATGACCACACATGACAATCTCTGTCCTTGTGGTTATGAATACAAAATGATGCACTTACCCTGAGTTCTGATGATGAGCAGACAGCAGACTCACGCCCGATTGTTGATCTTTTTCTCAACTTATTGATGTTAATTGAATCACTTATAAATTGAGTACGCCGAATATACTAACGACCATAACGGCAGAATTTGAGAATTCACAGAACCACACAGAACACAGAACGCAAGAACAACACCTTAATTACATTAGTTGCGTTTTATTTGTTCCATTGTGGCATTGTGGGTAACGGTGGTGGAAACAGAATGACTTTTGAAAATGAAACGAGAAACTTCATGAACTTGCAATCCTTCCATGAGAGAAATTGGCATATTATAGATGTTAGAGTTTGTATTTGTGTAGTGGGGCTCCGAATAATTTTAAAATCATGATACTAGAGTTAAAAATCAAGACAATAAATCAACGCATATTTGGAGCAGTGGTTGTGGTGATTGAAGAAAGTTCTCTGAGATCGATAGAATCCTTATAGAATGTATTTTATCTGAGAATGAAGATATAAAACATGTCTTAATTGAAAGAAACATAATAATGTCTTCTTAACGTCTTCTACTATTTTTCGTATGTTTTGTTTGATTTAATAAGTATGATCTGTTGTGTTTCGTATGACAAGAAATTATTCTGACAACAATAATTATTATTAATGAAGATATACAAGTTTCTCATAGTAATGATTGAGTCAAAAACTAAAAAAGTGAACCACAATAATATGTGAACGATTGAGTTTTGAGTCAGCTTCCATCAACCACCACTAGGTAGCGTATGTTTAATTATACGGTTGTCAAATTGTTCAATCATTAGTATCTTTATTATTCAATTGTCGTTTTATTAGCACGTTAGTATGAGTTGAATCTAGCTAGAACCCTACCTACTATGCTATATATAATAAAGTAATAATCATTTGCCGTTGATAATCAACGTAAACAGAGATTAGCGACTGTCTGAAAGCGGTGGCTGCCTGATTTGTAGCCGGTAAATGAGAACACGTGTCTTGTCTTGTCTTTTTCGATGCGGCCACAGTGATTGATGATCATCCGGCTAACTTTACAGGGATTTCGGTGTAAGCTGTAAGCCAGTAAATGATTGCTCTATACATTCGTACCGTGTATCTATACCTATACAAACTTATTATTTATCGAGTATTACAAAATATATACGAAAATATATGTGAATAGTTGGTAGCTCTCTGAGTAGCTGTCAGATGTCACATCTTTGACGCAGAGGGGTTTAATTTTAAACCCTAATGCATTCGCGTTGACGCAGTGCAACTGTTTTTCTAAGGGCTTCCCACTTCAATATTTCAACCACCAACCTACAAACAGGGAGAACGGCAACGCACCGTTTCGAAACTTTCAAGTTTCACATCACTCTCACAAGTCACAATGCATGCAAATTACAAATTTACTAAATTATAAGCTCTACCAATGCCAATGAAAATCAATAAAGGAATAAGAGGTAGGTAGATGAATGTCTCGATCAAAGCCATCAAAGGATTCATGTGCATTTCTATAGCGTGCATTTATTCATGCACAAGCACACAACTAGATATCATTTTTTGTACGATAAAACGGGAAAACGCCTCAGAAACTATGAAACATCATATTCTCTGTCACCTCATTTGTTCTGACTCAAGCCAATGCCACTCCAAAGTCCAACAACGATAAAAAAGACCTACTATGAAGACATAAAAGCAGCAGTATATTATCGAATTCTCTCCATTCTATTGTTGCAGGATCGAGGACCCTGAGAACTCGCGGACGGTGTTTCAATATGGCGGCAGCGACCAATGACACGAGGGCATGGACAATAGACCACTCCGGGGCCACTTCACCACTTCAGCCTTCTCTGTTCTGCTCCCCATCGTCAATATTATTCCAACCCGATGGCCCCCTAGCGGGGACGACGGACGATGATGGACATTTATTGTCCCGTTATCACCGCTTGGAATAACAAATGACTATTATTATATTTATATTATGCTTCATCAATCTATATACTGATATACCTACCTACAGTTCCATCTGGAAATAGCTCTCAAATATTTGTTTCATCTATCATCTATAATCTATAGCTAGTAAGTTATGATATCCCATCATGTTTACATAACCTTCATGAACACTAAATAATTTTCCAAATATGAATCTAGGTATGAAAACCAATTAGATATGATGATGTTACGACTTTACCAAGATTCTAAAAATCATCAGTCACCAACATATTTTTCACACTCGATTTGTATGTAGGTACTTTCATGAGAAAATAAAAGTTCTGTTCTGTGGTACCTATTCACTCAATCGCAAACGATCAAGGCACTTTTCAGAATTTGTACAAAATTTGTACGTTCATTGCGCCATCTAACAAATTTATATTGAACTATTGAACACACCTCTGCAAGAAACATGCAACATTCTGTCTCTGTCGGAAGTCAGGACAGATCATATATTACAGAAAACTGTAACACAAAAATCTCTCTTTTTCTGAAAACATTTCTGTTTTTGGGGAAGGCTGTTGACGGATCGACGGATCGAGGATGACATATCTCATCATCATACATAACCTCAAAAATATCTAAAAATGTACGAAGATTGAAAATGAAGAAATGTTTAAACAAATGATAAATGTCTGCACCCCGATACGAAATGCAGTTGGATATGCCTTCAAAAATGATCCCAAGTTACACAAGAAGCTCTTCAGCCAATGCTCCAAACTGAAGAGACAGAAGGTTAGTTCTTCGAAACCTGCTCCCAGGTATTTCAGGACTCAAACAGCTTTATGTCTACGTATTTGCAGATCACCAAGACTATACATCAAGAATATTCAGCAGTTTGTGCGTTGCTGCAACGTTCAGGATTAGACAATGTTGCACAACTATACAGAAGCTTCCATTCTACTCCCCAGAACAATCAGGAACCCTTCAAAGACCCAGGACCAAATCCCAATGGATCCCGAAAACCAGACGACGATGACAAAGACAAGATATCTTCTCTATTGGCCAAAGCCTTTCTTTGGATGCTCACTGCCTATATGGTCATAGCAATAATATCTCTCATGTTCCCAAGCAGCAATCAACCAGAGGTACACATTCTTGAATAGCCCTTAGGTTTTTGTATGTTTAAAAGTTTTAGGTTGTTAGGTATGTCTCTTGGAACGAATTTTTATATCAAATGCTAGCAAAAGGTGAAGTAGAACAAATTATCATCAGACCTGATATTGATATTGTCACAATAATTTTATATGATGGTGCTGTTATCAAGGGTAAAAGGGTATGTATACCACTTTATATTTAGTCATGAAGCACCAACAAAATTTCAATTCAGGTAGAAAATAGGACCTTCCATATGAATGTAGTTGATGTAAATAAATTTGAAGATAAGTTGAGAGAAGCAGAAAGACGTTTGGGTATACAAGATGGTGTTCCCATCATTTTTGAAAGAAGTACAGATACTGCCGGAAAATTGCTTGTTTCCCTTTTAGTGGTTGCATTGCTCATCTCATTGTTAGCTAGAAGCAAGAGCATCAGACCCCCAATCAGTATGGATTCATTTGTAAGTGAAATATACACAGTCCTCCAAAAAAAATCTTGTTTTTCTGTTTTTTTTTCTCTAATAGACCCAATTGGGTCGGGCCAAATTCACATTGGTAGACCCGCTAGTGGGCCCCGGCAAGGGGGTCCATTTCGCTGATGTGGCTGGCCTACGGGAGGCCAAACTTGAGGTTATGGAGTTTGTCGATTACCTCAAACGACCCGAACACTATAAAAGCCTGGGCGCTAAAGTACCCAAAGGGGCTCTCCTACTAGGCCCACCCGGTTGCGGTAAAACCATGCTGGCAAAGGCGGTTGCCACCGAATCCAACGTCCCGTTTCTGAGCATGAACGGATCAGAATTCATCGAAATGATCGGTGGTTTGGGGGCAGCTAGAGTCAGGTTAGTACCAATATCATATCTGACATGTATCTACTTTGTGTCTGATATGTATCTGTTATGTGTCTGATATGTATCTGATACATATATGATATATTACTGAAACATCTTTGACACATAATTGATACATGTCTGAAACATCTTATTTTGGTTCCACTGATTATATCTTTCGAAATAAATTCATGTGTTCTAGAGATTTGTTTAAGGAGGCTAGGAAAAGAGCTCCATGTATAATATACATCGATGAAATCGATGCTGTGGGTCGGAAAAGGACCAGCAGTTTGGGAGCAGGTGGCGCCAGTGGAGAGAGTGAGCAAACGCTGAACCAGTTGCTGGTGGAAATGGACGGTATGGCTACCAAAGAGAGCGTTATTATGCTGGCTTCAACGAACAGAGCAGATATTTTAGATAAAGTAAGTGGGAAAGAAAAGAACAAGAGTTTTGTTATTTTTTACTTTATATTTCCTTGATTTGGATATCTAAATGTAATAAGTAAAAATTGAATAAATTCCAACTGAAATTTTCATTCTTAATATAAAATTCTGAAGTGTATATCAATGTAATCTATGTAATTGGAAAATGTGAAAAATACAGGATGCACAATCAAGAGCAACAGTTCAGATCAATTTTGATTAATAAACAAATTGACATCAACAAATAATGCAGGATACAATCTTGAAATACATGAAAATTGAAATAGTGGTATCTTCAGGAGGAGGAATCCATTTTATTTCTTCAAGATATTTCAGTTGGAGATGATTTTAAGAAGCATGTTCCTTCAGGGCAGTAACGAATTATTTCATTTGAATTAAGTCAATTATTCAATTAGTGAATTAATTCATCTAAAGAAGATTCTTTGTGTTTGTTATTATTTTTTATTCAATCAATATTGTTTCAGTTTGATTTGCAGAAACTGCATGTTTTGTTATGTTATGCTTTAAAAATCTTTTAGTAACAACTTAATTCAAAAAGTCTGACTCATTGCACTTTTTTTTATGGAAGTCATGACTTATTCCAGCCCTGTTTGCCTGTTGCCTATGGATTTCTGAAAAAAAAAATTCAGGCATGCGTTGAAACGTCGATAAAATGTGAAAACTAGGGGGTGAGCGGGCGACTAGGCCATCCTTAACTTCTCTAGAGTAATTGATTGATTGCAGCTATAAGATTTCGAAATTTTTGCCTTTTAACTGTGAAATGGCCTCTCTCTTAGCATTCACTGTTAGTCCAGGTAGTCTTGAGTGCTACTCTGTATCCTTCGTGGAGAACTTGGCAGTCCTAGAGGTTCGATTCGAATAGATCCGGCTCGAAGGACCAATATGTTAGATGTTTGATAGATAGTGGACTGTATTTGTATGGATATGATAATGAAATAAAGATTGTTATGAGAATTGCAATTTGACTTACAATCCTTCTTTAGTTATTAATGAATCTTATGTTCCAACATATAATGTATGTAAGTAGAAACAAATTCAAACTTGTTCTTAGGCCTTGTTGCGGCCTGGAAGGTTCGACAGACACATACTAATCGACTACCCCGACCTCGTCGAGCGCAAGCAAATATTCGAGCAGCACTTGAAGGCGATCGCGCTCGAGCAAACTCCCGACGCGTACTCGAAACGGCTAGCCTACCTGACGCCGGGTTTCAGCGGCGCCGATATTGCGAACGTTTGCAACGAGGCGGCGCTGCACGCTGCCCGAGTGAAGAAGAGCAAGGTGAACAAGGAGGATTTGGAGTATGCCGTCGAGAGATTAGTGGGTGAGTTATTAGTACCGACATGAAATTGAGGGTTCAAGAGAAATATAAATGTAACTCGAAAAATAATAAAATATGTAATCATCTATCTGTGTTTGTTCATATTTTACTCAATAGCTATCACAGTTAATAATGATCTCACTGAAAGGTTCAATGGTCAGAAAGAAGTATTTTTCATGGGCATTCAGAATCTATTACTAGAGAATGCAAAAAAAGTATCGTAAACCACAAAATTCTACATAAACTGTTTTTATAATGGAACACCCTGTATTTTATTTTCCCTATCCATAAAGCTCTTCCTTCCGATTTCAAATATATACAGGGTGTTTCAGATTCAAATGTACATACGATACCTTTAGATAGAGGACACTTTCATGATTCCAAATCACCCCCCATTGATGTGTCTACTGTCTTTTATAATTGAGAGTACTGATATACAGGACGTTACCTTACCCATCAAAACTAAATAAAAATCGGGATCAGAATCCAGGTCCTTCATGAGCAAAAACAAAGAACTTATTCCATTTCAAAATCAACACTCTCTATGGCAAAATTTTGTAGATCTGTTTGGATATTTGAGAAGAGCGGAAAAAAATGAATAGAGTGACTTCTATTTACGATCGCGCATCCAATTTGACAGCTGTTTTATTGTTATTTTTTGAAATACTTAAAATCTACCTCCATTTTGAGGCATTGATTAAAAATCCTATTTCATTACAAAAAAAATAAAAACGAAGATAACCTCAATAACGGGTACGATTCTTTCGTCAAAATTTGCAAATTATAGATCGCGTATCTGATATGGAGGACGTGTTTTGTTATTATATGATCCGATTCTATTCACAATTGATGTGGTGGGGGTTTTCAAGGTCGGAGATAATGATTCTCTCGTCAAAATTAGGAAATTCAAGATGGCGGATCCAATATGGTAGACGAGTTTCGTATTCATTATCCGATTCTATTTAAAATTGGTATCTGGGAGTTTTCAGGGTCGGAGATTATGATTCATTCGTGAAAATTAGGAAATTCAAGATGGGGTCCAATATGGCGGCCGAGTTTTGTAATTATGATCCGATTCTATTCAAAATGTGTATCTGGGGGTTTTTGAGGACGAAGATTATGATTTTCCCGTCAAATTCTGGTAATTCAAGATGGCAGATCCCATATGGCCAACATGTTTATTAAGTATGATCCGATTCTATTTAAAATTGGTATCTGAAGAATAGAAAATACTTTGAGAAACTAAAGACAACCAAATCGAAAAGAGGTAGAAAATAAAAAAATAATAGTATGTTGAGAAAGATTCAAGTAAAAATATATTTTCTATAAATAATGTATACAGGGTGTTTCATAATTGAATGTCAATATTTGGGGACGCAATTCTTGGGCCCATTCTAAGAAGAAAGTTTCATATGAACGTATGACCTAAACATCCTAACTTTTGAGATACAGGGTGGTGAAGTTCTCAAAAATTAATAGTTTTTTATTAATATCTGTAATACCACTTCAGATATTCTGATGAAATTTGGCATACATGTACTATGTATCAAGAGGCATCAGTTAGCGTACCACATTTTTTGTTGTTGCCACCAGTGGCGTTCGTATGGAATTTCACATACCTATTTTGGCAGACATTGATGGTACGCCACTGATTAATCTCCAAATTGAAATCATTCCTGAAATTCCCGATCATTTCTAAGCAAATTTGATCACTACAATTTTTTCAATCTGATGCACGGTTTTCGCTTAAAAATAAAAAGCTTTTCACTACATGATTATAGTAATATTGTTAATATGATAATATCACAATGCAGAGAAATAGTTTTTATTTTTAAGATCAAATTTCAGAAATACAATTCATAGTTCATGAACTTTGTATTCGTATTTGGTATTTTCGAATTATAACTTCTCATTGTAGTAGGCTATATTAATTTTCGAGAATTTTACCACCCTGTATCTCCAAAGTTGGGACGTTTAGGTCATATGTTCATATGAAACTTTCTTCTTAGAATGAGCCCAAGAATCGCCTCCTCGAATATTGACATTCAATTATGAAACACCCTGTATAACAAATTTGCCGGGTCAGGTAGTTGATAATAGAGAGTTGAAGTGTTGTCATGAACGTTAACGTAAATGTAGAAATTGACAGCTACGCATGCGCATTTTCCAATTCTTCACGTTTGCGTTGTTAGTGGGCTTACGGGTGTACGTTATCTCACGTTCCTTCACGTATACCTCAAATATCAACGTACGTTAACCAAACTATACTCGAAATATGCCGATGAGTCAATATTATCAAATTCGAGATCACCAACGAGTTCTGCATCAAGGAGTCCTCTAATTTTGACAGGAATGAATGTTCGAATCTAAACACACAACAAAAAATGACCAATACAAACCGAAAACAAAATGTATTATTACGTTATGATGACAGTGACGACCAAAGTGGCGACTTTAACTCAATTTAACGACAATACGTAAACGTTATTTTTCGTACGTTAACGTCTACGTGGAGGTCTACGTACAGTGATTACTTCAACTCTACTAGATTTGAGATGGAGTCGGGAACAATTATTATTATTATTATTATTATTCCATTTTTTTGCAGGTGGTACTGAGAAGAGGAACCATTCTATGTCGCCCCAGGAAAAACGCGTCGTGGCCTACCACGAATCTGGGCACGCGTTAGTCGGTTGGATGTTGCAGCACACCGACGCCCTTTTGAAGGTCACCATAGTGCCGAGGACGAGCCTGGCCCTGGGGTTCGCCCAGTACATACCGAGGGATCAGAAGCTGTATACCAAAGAGGAGGTGAGATTCTGTTTTACCCTTCATTTCATTCATTTCATGAGTATGAATTGTATTTAATTCAGTAAAGTTCAATAGTTTTATTCTGACATTTCATTTATTTATTTAGTTTTGTTACTGATATATAAGGGCGTCGCCAGAGAGGGGCAGGGTGGGGCAGCTGCCCCCCCCCCTACGTTTAACGCTCACCAGTCACCCTGCTACCATTGAAACGACTATTTCATTCAGCACATAATCTGAACAATCACAAGCCAGAGAAAACGTGTGCTTATCGCGAAAACTAGATGTTTTCAACGAACGAACGGGTAGCGAAGCGAAGTCTGTCAATTTGGCAAAAAATAATGACTGCACTTGTCAGAATGAATCATTCATCCAAAATAAATGCTTCTTTGCTTCGTGAACGTGAAATAGTCTCCACTCTGTTCTGAATATATTCTCATAATTCTTCATTTCCTTGTCAAATCTATTGTGTTGCCGTACAGTCCTACCTTTCGTCCTGACTCGTGGTGTTGCTCAGCAACACAATTTCGTGAACAATGAGGCGACAGAATTATCTCGAATATTAAGAATATCGTGATATTACTTATGATAACGCTCACTTTGAGCAAACAACTTCCGAAAGTATATTTTTCTCCTGAAGTTGAGAAGGCTCTGAAGATCCTTGTTGCCTTTACCTTGTAAGATTTGTACAGTTGAAAGGTCATTGAGTAGCCTTAAGAGAATCAAAACCTGGTTGAGGGGCACCATGTATGATGCTCGACTCAATGGCCTCGCAATGATGAGTATACACAGGCAACATATTTTCAAAAACTTGAAGGATTTCGTCAAAAAGTGACCAACGAATTCCCAAAGAACCCTAGAAGATTATTTTTCAACTGATTTACTGTGTAGATTTTTTTCTGTTTTTTTATTTTCTCATTAAACTCTTTCTATTTGATTTTTCTCTTCAGTTTTTTTATGGTGCCCCCCCCCCTACTTTTTCCGCTGGCGACGCCCTTGGATATATCAGAGATAAGGGGGTACACACAAAATTGAAAAAATCGCTATTACTCATCTAATTTTGCAAAAACATTATTTTCCTCATATTGTGTGAAAAGGTGCTGAAAATTCCCAATTTTATTGACTCGAAAAAGCAATAAGTGGTGTACAGAAAGACGCAACTCCCATCGTTAAGGAGTTGAGGTAGTGTTTCAACAGTATTTTCAGAAAAAAATTCAATTGTAGGTTTTCTTACTAAAATCAAAAAGTTACTTCTTCATGAAGAAAGTTAAGTGATTCCCCTTGCAAACAATAAAATGAGAATTTCTCTTAGCAAAAAAATAAACAATGAATTTTTACATGCAAAATGTTGAATAATGTTTTCTCCTCGCAAGAAAATCAATTAATGATTTCTCGTTGTAAAAAATAAAAGAATGATTTCTATGTACGGAAAATTCGAGAAAAAATGAGAGAGGGGGAAGAATGAAAGAAACATGATTCCTTGCAATAAACAAAAATATCAAAAATTGATTTCTTCTTCCAAAGAAATAAGAGTTTTTCCTTTGTGCAAAAAGGTAAAAGTGCCGATTCCATTGAAGGTTAATCCTCGCAAAATATTAAAGCGCAATTATCTTGCGAACAAAAAATGTCAAAACCGTATTTTTTTCTTGCAGTTATTCGACAGGATGTGCATGACTTTGGGCGGCCGAGTGGCCGAATCGTTGACCTTCAACAAGGTCACCACGGGGGCGCAAAACGACCTCGAGAAGGTCACCAAGATGGCGTACGCGCAAGTCAAAGAGTTCGGCATGAACGACAACGTCGGTTTGCTCAGTTTCCCCGAAAGGGAGGAAAAAGAGTTGGGCAAAAGGCCCTACAGCAAACAATTGGCCAACGTCATCGATGCAGAGGTGAGAATTCTCACTTATAATTACAGGAGAGCTTTTTTGTTCGAAGTAAACTTGACATGTTTCAATAAAAATTTTGTTGCCTGGCAATTTGACGAAAAAAACTGCCTCTGAAAAAATTACGAGTCCATAGGAGTTGAGTTGAATAACTATGAATTCTATTTTTCTTCAGGTTAGGACTCTTGTAGCACAGGCATATAAACATACTGAAAAGGTATTGTTGGAACATAAGAAAAACTTGGAAACGGTAAGTTTTTGACCATGTTCTTATTTTCATCAACTTCATTAACATATATAGGCCAAACCAGGCGTCCCATAATAACAAGGTTCAAAGAACACTTAGCACATTTGAAATATGGTAGGTTGGATAAATCGTGTGTAGCCGAACACATGTTCAATCACAATCATAACACACATATTAATAACCTCAAATTAGTTAAGCAAATTGATAATGTTAGGAAATTAGATGCAAATGAAAGCTTTGAGATATTTAAGAATAGTAATAGAGTTATGAATAAGGATAATGGACCTATCCCAATTAGCCCTATGTATAGTTTAGTGGACCAAGGTTAACATGTGAACTCAGCCATGGCTTACATCAACTTGGCAGTTATCGTCTTTTACGGTTGGGTGGACATATACCTAGTATATGAGTAGCACATCAGAATAGAACATTTAGTTTTAATTTTTTCCTGAGGTGAAATTATCGCGGAAAAATTCGCATCTAGAAAATTGTCTGCCAACTACTTACTTTACATTTTACAATCTTTCTCTTTTATTGAATTATGACAGTTTTCTTTCTGAATACACTCACCATCTGATAATCCATCTACTCAAATTAGGTATTGATACAGTTTGCTCATCAATAACATTCTTTTTTCTGTGACGGGAAAAAAGTTTGGCATTTCATCTCTGTTGGCAGGTTATAAAATGTCACTTTATGAAAATTACTTTTTTCCCGTGGGAAAAAAGTGAGTACTTCTTTCCCGGATATATAGCACATATATATACTCTGTTAATGGCTTTCGTTGTGCTATAGTTCCGAAAAATAAGTCAATAATACCGTCTCCGAGAAAGAACTGCAAGTCCTTTTATCTTCCATTCGACTTCGCGGTTTCGTATATTACTAAACAACTACTGAATTCGCAATTTTTTAAAATCAAATCACAAAATTGAACTGACAGAAGTGACATCAGATATTTGATTACTTCAAAAGAATGATGAAGATGTCTATGAAACGCAGATGTCCCTACTGTTAAAAACTTGAAATTTCACGTCGATAATTTTCAGATTTCGAAATAATGTAATATCTTCCCAATATTGATTCGTCCTTCCTTCTGTCACAGAAAAAAATAGTGTATTATACACGGGAAAAATATTAGATTTTAGCTCACGGTTTTTTGTCTCCCTCCGCTACGCGTCGGGAGACAACACAACCTGGAGCTAAAATCTACTACTTTTTTCCCTTGTATAATAAATAACTATAATTCAAGTCCAATTTGATTATTCTTGTCCTTTATGTTTCTTCCTAAAACCCTTGTATCTTTTGTGAAAGAGAAGACGCAAGGAACAGGGAAAAGGATAAATCTGAAACTTTTTTCCCGTCATAAACAAAAATAAATTTTCAACTGTAACAGTTTGGTCACTCCATAGATTGTTTTGAATTTAAAGTAAAAAGCCACATTTTGTACCACCCTGTATAAAATCAACGTCTTGCTAACTTTCATGAAATTTCAACTTGTTTCATAATCTCTATGTATTCACCTACACTTTGAAGAAACAAAAATCAAAGATATTGTCGAGCAAACTTCATCGAAATTTCAAGTGGAAATTTCTGTTAGTTTTGTCGTCTTGAAACGTAATTTTTTTAACTGCTAAATCTCATAACTGAGAGATCTAGGATGAACAGAGTTGCCCCAATAGCGACAATTGGGGCAACTCTGTTCATCCTAGATCTCTTAGTTATGAGAGTTAGCAGTTGAATAGGTGGTGGAAAAATTCCACTCAAGTATGTCAGGTAGTGCCATCTGTCAGCAGAGTGATTTACTTGTAGTACCACTCTGTAGCGTATAGCCGTAGGGGTCTGTACGTGTGACTATTGATGGCAGCGCCATACAGTGTGTGTCGCGATATCTGTATCCTACCTTAGAGCTTTGCCACAAGATGGCTACAAGATGGCTACAACTTCATGTTATACCCTGCGGTAATTTTTTTAGTTGGCTGAAACTTTGATTGTGAAAGAAACGTTGAACTACGATGACGTTGAGAATCTGTTAGGCCCACCTCCGTTTGGAAAGAAGAGTCTGATAGACCCTGCAGAATTTGAGGAGAACATCAGAAAAGATTCTGGGGATTACCGAGATACTAAAGCAGAGGCCAACGCCTCAACGCCAAAAGCTACTTGAAATAGTCTGAAATCACTAGTATTTTTCGATAATTGTTAGTAATAAACTGATAAAGTTTCATTAGACAAGATGTTTTATTGCTTGGCCTCGTTCCATAGTCACAAACATAAACGGAGTAAATTTTAATATTACTATGAAATTTTGTGTTCCACAAGGAACGGTTCCTGGCCCGCTTCCATTTTCTATGTATAAATTCAAGGTATATGCGTGATAACGTTTGAAATCAGTATTTCATGGAGACTATCTAAAGATTGATAATAAATAGGGTGTTCCATTCAATTAAATTTATCCTAAATTACTTCAATTATTTTCAAAAATATAAATGAGCTTCATTCAACCTAACCTAACCTGTCCCGGTATTAAGTTAAATATGACACACTTTTAATCGTCTGATTGATTTGAAATTTGGCAGGTGTACATAATTCTGGTGACAATGCATATAATGAAATTTTTATTAGAGAAAAAAACAAAATGGCGACTCCAAAATAACGGATGAGTTTTGTAATTATTGTCCGAATCTATTCAAAATTGGTATGTGGTGGTTTTTGAGGTCGACAACTATGATTCTTGTGTCAAAATTGGAAAATTCAAGATGGCGGCTCCAATATGGCGGACGAGTTTTGTAAGTTTGATCCGATTCTATATAAAACTTGTATCGGGGGGTTTTCGGGGTCGGAGATAATGACTCTGTCGTCAAAATTGGTGCATTCAAGATGGCGAATCCAATATGGCGGACGACTTTTTTATTTATGATCATATTCTATTCAAAATTGGTATCTAGGGGTTTTCGAGGTGGGAGATTATGATTTTTCCGTCAAAATTGAGAAATTCTCGATGAGGCTCTAAAGTGGCGGATAAGTTTTGTGTATATGATCCGATTATATTCAAAATTCTGTCTGTGAGAGGGTGTCTGTGTGTGTAGTGCATTTATAAAAGCTTGTTAAAAATGTTTTTATATATAAGAGCATGTTGAAAATCAATTTATGCGGGACTGTGGACGTAAGTATATATTTCCGAGTCGTTTTTATTGATATTTACCAATTGTTATCTCCGCCAATGACAATGTATTCAGGAAATGGAATGCTAAGAATGTGATCGGTTCATACCTGCTTCAGTGCTTTTACAGGCCCTGATGGCCACCTATAACGTTTTATTGTTTCGAGAAATGTGTCTGGTGAGTATTCCCTTTTGTCTGCAGGTATTTCATTCATGGTCCCAGAACGTTTTTCTATACAGGGTGGTAGACAAACACAAAATTTCAAACATCGGATTTCATCACGAATTTTGTATAGATTTTCTCAATGTGACAATGTATATCTCTCTGCACACTTTTGCATAATATAATTTTCAATGAATTATTAGCTTTTTTCCATGTTCTTCAACTAATAGGAAGGCTAGGCTGCCTCATAAAATCTCCATATAAAATCAGTTCCCAGAAATATAAAAGTGATATTCAACAATGTACCTATATGAAAGCATTTAATATTATTTTGTCAAAAAAACAGCCTCCTACAATTGAACACCTTGTATATCAATAGAGACCGGCATGAATGCAAAAATCGTGTAGCATCTGCTATGTTAAACACTTCCGTAAGTTGTGTGAACCAGGTGTATATAAACATATGAAACGTTTTAGTGGAATATTTAATGACCATATCGGAACAATATACAAGGAGTTGTCTGCAAGAAATAGATAAATTGAAAATATAAAAAAAACCTTTGATTCAGTTGTTCGACCATGTTGTATAGCGAAGAGAGGTCAGAGATTAGAACATTAAATTAATTAATCATGGAAAACGACAATAATATTATTTCTCTCTGAAGAAATGAAAATAAACAAATTTCAATATGAAAAATTTTTAAATTGAAACAACCGCTTTGATAGCAATCCTATAACTAATAATAATTAACATCTGTTGTTTATTTGAGAATATTTGAAGATAAGAAACCATTCCATTATATTACCAACACTCAATAATTACTCAATATAATATTGAAAACTGAATTTAATCTGTTTTCGATTTTTTATTAAGTATTTGTTCACTCATCAATTTTTGAGACTTGGTATATAAGGACTTGCAGTTCTCTCTCGGAGACGGTGTTGGCTTATTTTTCGGAACTAACACAACAAAAGCCATCGACAGTGCATACAGAGTGGGTCACGGTGGATGGCGTATTTATATATATAGAAGTATCTGGAGAACGAAAAGACAGAACATTCTGAAAATTGGGATGCTTTGATAATTGAACATTCTCTATTTGCCTAAAATGTTTTCATCCATACAGTGTTGCCACTTCTATCAGAAACAACTAGCAACTTTGTTATTTCATATGGAACACCCTGTATTTTATTGCATTTCAAGATTCTTCCTGAGGAGCTGATTTCATCGATGTATCATACTTGGGGTCAAGCAGAAATGATTACAGAGATATGGGGTATTCAAAATCTAGATTTTTCAATTAGGATTTTTTTGTGTCGAAACTATTCATTATTGTTCGAAACGGCGTACATATGTCCCTGTTTTAACTTTTGATTCACTATCTATACTGGTATTTAATTTAAAAAAATACAGGGTGCTTCAAGATTTAGAATTCTGACCACCCTGTATCTGTTCCAATTAAATGTCAGTAGATAGTGAATCAAAAGTTGATATAGGGACATGTAAGCCGTTTTGATCGATAACGAATAGTTTCGCCACAAAAAAATCCTAAAATAGAAAAATCTCGATTTTGAACACCCAATATCCTGTAATCATTCCTGCTAGACCCCAATAAGTGTGATACATTGATGAATTAGCTCTTCAGGAAGAATCTAAAAATGCAATAAAATACAGGGTGCTCTATTTAAAATAATGAAGTTGCCAGTTGTTGGGTGGCGGAAATTTGATCGAAAGACAAATGATAGAAAAACATTTGATAGAAATCTTTTGATCGAAAATCAAAAAATAGAAAGAACTTTTCACCGAAAATACATTTGATCGAATGTTTTATGATAGAAAATACATTTGATAGAAACATAAATGATGATATGATCCCTTCCTCATATATTTGAGAAGAAAGGAGCTAGAAGTTTGTCGTATCAATAAATTCATAAGCTTCGATTTCCATCTAGCTCCTTCTTCTCAAATATATGAAGAAAGATCATATCTTCACAAACGTACTGACCTAACTTGAGCGTAGCCCCGTTGAATTTTCTATCAAATGCTGTTTCTATCAAATATTTTTCCTATCAATTGTATTTTATATCATTTATGTTTCTATCAAATGTATTTTCTATCATTTATGTTTCTATCAAATGTATTTTCTATCATAAAACATTCGATCAAATGGATTTCTATCAAAAACACTTTTGATCAAATGTTTTTCTATCATTTGTCTTTCGATCAAATTTCCGCCACCCGCCAGTTGTTTCTGATAGAAGTGGCAACACTGTATCGATGAAAATATTTTAGAAGGATAGAAAATATTACATGATCAAAGCATCCCAATTTTCAGAATGTTCTGTTCTTTCGTTCTCCATCAGATACTTCTAATAGACCATCCACCGTGGATCACCCTGTATATAAATTGTTCAATGTTGAAAAAAGAAGGGCAAATTGTTCTAAATGCGATCCAGAAGACATGCGGAAACGAAGGTGAAATTTGTAACTTTATAGTTTATATATCTTAATAACTAGTGGTTTGTTCATATTTTCATCATCAAATTCGTCTTTTTCAGACAAAAATACGTAAGTACCAAAAAAATTTTTCGAAAAAAACCCATCGCATCATAAATGCAGTTTTACCGTCACTTTGTTTAATCGCCAATCACCCTGTATACAGTCGTTAAGCCAAAGTGGTCAAAGTCCCAGAGTCAGAGAGAGAATCTCCGAAATCGCGTCAATCATCCAGGTAGGTAAAGTACCTATATCGTCCAAAAGGTCTACCGGGTCTACAGAGTATACACGAGCCACGGCGATGGGTTCTATCAAGACCTGGTGGGGCTGGCTGGTTCTCATCTAGACATCGAGATTCCTCTCGATTGCCGTTTGTTTCATGTGTTTCAGTCAGTAGCGAAACAAACGAGAAACGAGTTTCTCCAAATACGCAGCTCTGCAGTACAAAAGGCGTGGGACTTTTCCCTCGATTTTGTTTGTGATCCTTTAGTGCGTTTCAACTGTTCCATCTTCATGCCTACTTGACTTTTCCAACAACTGGTGAGTTACCTAGTTGTCTTTTTCTGGTTAAAAGTGCGAGAACGTGTTTTGCTTTTGAGGATTGTATTTAAATGGCCTAGAGCGAGTTGGTTTACTGGCTGTGATGACAGAGTTCACTACATGGTTCACTCGAATACTAATTATAATTACTAATATAAACACTTCTGTTTGTACTGCACAATAAGTAGGTAGGTACAGGTGTACTTAGCAAATATTACGAATACCTACCTACATGTTTATTTTAATAATTAAATGTTTTCAATAATCTCTATTATCATTTGTGTAGATTTTTGTATGCGATCCATAAAGTACAACTTTATTGGACTGCCCATAACAATTTTAATAACGCATGCAGGTATGCGAGGATTTTAATTCATTGCGTACAGGGTGATCAGCCAAAAATGACCCCCCATGCATGTAAGACTTATATGTGATATTTCTTTGATAATTCCAAAAACAAATTTGAAATAATTTATTGACGCAATTCGATTAATTGAACTATTTTTCTAGCCAGATTTTATGCACTAGGTATTTCAAAATGTACAATAAGGTACCCTAAATAAATGAATCGTAGTAAAAGTATATAATAGGTCGTTGATATTTTTCAATAGAACTCCCCGTATTTCATTCCAAAATTAGAAATACACGGTTTATATGGAAATTTTTTAGAGTTGCCAATGTATTACCTTCAAGTATATAAACACATTGAATGTACATGTTATAAAATATCAGTTTATTTTTAACTGCAGTGTTTATAATCCTCATTCGCATGTTTGTTTTTTCTGCAATCTCCTAGAATCCAGTTACCATTATATTTCCCGCAAAAACGATGTACTCTTTTCTCACATTAAGAGTGGGCAATAGGACTGGAAAAATGAGGAATACAGCGCTCTCGCTCCTGACGCTTTATGGGAAAACAGTTTGGCATATAGTACATTTTTAAACGCCATCATATAGACAAAGGTTCAAATAAGGGCGGATACTATCTCATTTTTCAAAATTCGAAAAAAAAAAGTTTCAAAAATGTATTTGAATATAGCATTATTAGCTGACGAAAAAAAAATATTTATACTGCTTGTTCAAGATTTTCAGATAGTATCCGCCCTAGAATGAACCTTCAATATGCTACAAAAAAAAAATCAAATCATAATGTGGCTTGGTTTCTTCACAAAGCGTCAGGAGCCAATCCTCTGCAACCTCAAAAATAGGCATAAGTTCACGATGATATTTGCGCCCTCTGGTGAAAGTTATATCAAAAGAACATGGCAGTCGATGTAGCCTTAGTTCGGGTGATTTGATGAAATATAGAAATAATGAAATTTAAAAAAAACCTATATAAATTCATGAAATTTCAAAAATAAACTAGTAGGTATTGATTACTTTGAGACAAAAATAATTTATTCTTCATACATTTTGAGAAGTATCATCTAATAGTTCGATCGTCAATTAAGTGAAATCTATTGAATAATCTGATGCGTAATTTCACGCGAGTTCATTGCCTCAAGTGCCCATAATTTCGCTAAACGCAAAAAATCGTCTACAATAATAGAATACGTATAGGTGGTTCCCCGAACGGGTTGTTTTTTACACGTTGTAACATCCTGAGATGCAGGGTGATGCAGGATGCAGGTATACGTTTATGGTCAATGGAATAGAGAGCTTGAGCTTCTGAAATTTGTAGGTTTTACAATTTTGTATTTAGTGCGAGTGTAATATAATAGTGGTAGGTCATTAATGATTGGTGACATTATAAAAATGTTCAACATCCTTTGAATGTTACTCATGTGAAGTTGGTGCCGTTTTTTTCGAAAAACTCAATTTTTTTTTTAGTTCTGAGAAGATTTGATGAGTTCTAGAGTTCCTGACTGAAATTTTGAATAGTTCCAGCAAATCGTAGGTGTCATTGGAAAAAATAAATTTTGAACGTTAACTTCACGCAGCGCCGTTTTTTTCGAGAAAATGAGTTCTGATAAATTTTTTTGTTGTATTATAAAGAGTTCTGGAGTTCTACACCTATTTCATCAATAGTTCTGGTGAACTAAGGAAATTATCGAATAATTTGAGGAAATTAATCTTGGTGAAATACTATTCCGTTCTGTTTCGTATTGAAGAAAAAGCTATCGAGGAAAAAGGAGGAGGATCATTAGGAAATGTGAAATCTGAAAAAAACGAAGAAAAAAATCAGCTGTCATAAGGTGAGAAATGTATTCCAAAGAACAGGACAGTTCTGATGGGAGTTCTGAGTAGCGCTCGCCGAGTTCTTCAAAATATTCAAATGGTGTTTTAGTGACAAATCGATACTTTTTCTTTTATCAGCTGTCATAAGGTGCACATCTTAAAAAACTAACATTTTCGATAAAAAATCAGTAGGTACTCAGGAACAGAATAGTTCTAATGGGAGTTCTGAGTAGCGCTCGACGAGTTCTTCAAAATATTCTTATTCTGTTTTAGTGACCAATCGATACTTCTTCATTCATCAGCTGTCATAAGGTGCTGACCTCAAAAAACTAGCATTTTCGATAAAAAATTCATTCCGTAAAACAGAACATTTCTGATGGGAGTTCTGAGTAGCGCTCGACGAGTTCTTCGAATTATTCTAATTGTGTTTCAGAGACAAATTGATACTTTTTCATTTATCAGCTGTCATAAGGTCAATATCTTAAAAGACTAACATTTTCGATAAAAAATTGGTACTCAAGAACAGAATAGTTCTGATGGGAGATCTAAGTAGCGCTCGACGAGTTCTTCAAAATATTCAAATGGTGTTTTAGTGACAATTCGATACTTTTTCTTTCATCAACTGTCATTAGGTGCACATCTTAAAAAACTAACATTTTCGTTAAAAAATCAGTACTCAGGAACAGAATAGTTCTGATGGAAGTTCTGAGTAGCGCTCGACGAGTTCTTTGAAATATTCAAATGGTGTTTCAGTGACAAATCGATACTTTTTCTTTCATCAGCTGTCATTAGGTGCATATCTTAAAAAACTAACATTTTCGATAAAAAATTGGTACTCAAGAACAGGATAGTTCTGATGGGAGATCTAAGTAGCGCTCGACGAGTTCTTCAAAATATTCAAATGGTGTTTTAGTGACAATTCGATACTTTTTCTTTCATCAACTGTCATTAGGTGCACATCTTAAAAAACTAACATTTTCGTTAAAAAATCAGTACTCAGGAACAGAATAGTTCTGATGGAAGTTCTGAGTAGCGCTCGACGAGTTCTTTGAAATATTCAAATGGTGTTTCAGTGACAAATCGATACTTTTTCTTTCATCAGCTGTCATTAGGTGCATATCTTAAAAAACTAACATTTTCGATAAAAAATTGGTACTCAAGAACAGGATAGTTCTGATGGGAGATCTAAGTAGCGCTCGACGAGTTCTTCAAAATATTCAAATGGTGTTTTAGTGACAATTCGATACTTTTTCTTTCATCAACTGTCATTAGGTGCACATCTTAAAAAACTAACATTTTCGTTAAAAAATCAGTACTCAGGAACAGAATAGTTCTGATGGAAGTTCTGAGTAGCGCTCGACGAGTTCTTTGAAATATTCAAATGGTGTTTCAGTGACAAATCGATACTTTTTCTTTCATCAGCTGTCATTAGGTGCATATCTTAAAAAACTAACATTTTCGATAAAAAGTTGGTACTCAAGAACAGGATAGTTCTGATGGGAGATCTAAGTAGCGCTCGACGAGTTCTTCAAAATATTCGCATTGTGTCTTAGTGACAAATCGATACTTTTTCTTTCATCAACTGTCATTAGGTGCATACCTCAAAAAACTAACATTTTCGATAAAAAATCAGTACTCAGGAACAAAATAGTTCTGATGGGAGTTCTGAGTAGCGCTCGACGAGTTCTTTAAAATATTTCAATGGTGTTTCAGTGACAAATCGATACTTTTTCTTTCATCAGCTGTCATTAGATGCATATCTTAAAAACTAACATTTTCCAAGTATCGGAATCGGAAGTATCGATTTGACACCAAAACACCAAGATAATATTTTGAAGGACTCGTCGAGCCCTACTCAGAACTCCCATCAGAAATGTTCTGTTTTACGGAATGAATTTTTTATCGAAAATGCTAGTTTTTTGAGGTCAGCACCTTATGACAGCTTGAATGGAGAAGTATCGATTGGTCACTAAAACAGAATGAGAATATTTTGAAGAACTCGTCGAGCGCTACTCAGAACTCCCATCAGAACTATTCTGTTCCTGAGTACTGATTTTTTATCGAAAATGTTAGTTTTTTGAGGTATGCACCTTATGACAGCTGATGAAAGAAAAAGTATCGATTTGTCACTGAAACACCATCCGAATATTTCAAAGAACTCGTCGAGCGCTACTCAGAACTCCCATCAGAACTATTCTGTTCCTGAGTACTGATTTTTTATCGAAAATGTTAATTTTTTGAGATGTGCACCTTATGACAGCTGATAAAAGAAAAAGTATCGATTTGTCACTAAAACACCATTTGAATATTTTGAAGAACTCGTCGAGCGCTACTCAGAACTCCCATCAGAACTATTCTATTCTCAAGTAGTATTTTTTTATCGAAACTTATTTTTTCAAGGTATGCTCCTTATGACAGCTGATAAAAGAAAAAGTATCGATTTGTCACTAAAACACAATGGGAATAATTTGAAGAACTCGTCGAGCGCTACTTAGATCTCCCATCAGAACTATTCTGTTCTTGAGTACCAATTTTTTATCGAAAATGTTTGTTTTTTAATATATGCACCTTATGACAGCTGATAAATGAAAAAGTATCGATTGGTCACTAAAACAGAATAAGAATATTTCGAAGAACTCGTCGAGCGCTACTCAGAACTACTGATTTTTATCGACGGCTATAACACAAAATTGCTTTCGTTTTACTATGTTTGATATCACAATGACTTCATTTTGTTATTATTACACAAATTCTCATCTCTCATAAAATATTAAATTTCAAGCAATGACATCAACTCTGTCTAATCACTAAAGAGTGAGCAATGAGCCGCACAAAATAATAAATTCAGCGCTCTCGCTCTAGACTTCCCATTTCGAAACCATTCAATATTTTCAGAATTTTTTCGATTCATGCTCTAGCCAAAGGATCAAGCTAGGTTGGATACTATCTCATTTTTCGAAGTTTTTTAAGAAAGAGTGCAAAAAACGTTCTCGAAAAGTGCTCAAAATTAGTCAATTTGGCAAATAAAAAAAAATACGTGTACATGAAATAACCAATTTCCAAATAGTATCCAACCTAGATCTATCTGTCAACAAACCACACAAAAAAAAGCAGCTCGAAATAGTGATCGATGTCAATACAGGACGTTAAGAGCCGTTGCTCTACATTCTCACAAATACGCACGATTTGGTCGATGATATTTGCGCCTACGTAAATCACCCTGTATAACAGAAAAGTTAACTTTAACTGACGATACAGTTGAAATTCAAGAAAATAATGATTAAAGCCTACTCATAGTATCTGATGAGTCATTTCGTTTGCTTCTTGGTTTTTCGAGATCGGATTTTCAAAAGCAGCGCTATGGCTTGAGGCTTTCAGCAATCATCAACATACAGATTTACTCTCGGATTTACTGCAGTAAATCTGTATATTATGTACCCTAATATTGGATAGATATCCTGTTGTCGATACTTCCCATATAACTTTTTGCTGATAGTATACACATTTTCCCGCGATTGGTCATCCAAATTTGAATCTTTCAGAATATTCACCGAAACCATAGACAATTGGAAGTTTGTGAAACCCATCGTGAACCCTCAAATCATCCGATGTTTATTGCATCTCCTCAGCCTGATAGTGTACCCATGATGGATAATATATCTCATGATCTATTTAAGAGAATACAAAAAATCCTAATTTTTCCACACCTCTCGAACAATGAAGAGTGTCGTAAATCTTGATAACATATGTAAACGTAATGGATATAACCAAGGATATAACACAATCAAGGTGTTATCAAGATTGATTCTATGACCGGATTACCCGATGAATATAGGTAGAATACATTTCGCTAGGAATCTGCTAGGCAGATTATTGGCAATATAAATAAATATTCGGACGCGGTAATCACCCCGACTAATTGGCGAACGGGGTGAGTTGTCCTTTTCTAAAAAGGATGCTTGTTGATTTATGACTGTTTTGTAACCGCCCACTGCTATCTCTTCCTAACCCCCCCGGACCTCAGGTATAGGCGAGTTTTGTTGCACTGTACAGGGTGATCCATATTGAATGCTGTGTTTGGTTCATATTCATATCTGAAAATTCATATCATAGCTATAGAGTGTCTCCCAGCAAATGTGAACATCTTATAAACTCAGGAAAAATTTGACGCATGTTAGTCGGTCAAGATTTCAGAATTTCATCTTGGAACACTCAGAACACTCATAAGTTACAAGGGTGGATAAATTTAGTTTTTTTTTTCAATTTTTTTTTTTAGTGAGATCATGTTGAAGTGGATTATCGGTTTGTCCATCGCAGCAGGCGCTTTCCTGGTCATCCAGCAGGTGGAGAGCTGTAACGAGGCAGTTTGCGGCAGCGTGGTCAGCAAATGCCTCTTGACGAAATCCTGCAATTGCGATCTGAAGAATTGCACTTGCTGCAAGGACTGCTTCAACTGCTTGAGTTATTTGTACAGCGAGTGTTGCTCCTGCGTAGGTGAGTACGGGAAAATTCTTTAGTTTTTCATATTCTAGCAAAATTCGATTCGTTTCAGTCGGTTTTTGTCTGGAGGAGGACTCGGTTCCAGGCCGGAGTGTATACGGTGTCCATCATAGGGTGTGTTTTACCTTCGATTGTCATCAAAATCAGAAGAAAACTTTATAAATACATGGGTTGAAAACTATTTTTCGTTTTTGGGACACAGAACATTCAATTTTTGACATTCGTCTTATTTAAACTATTAACATTGTAAAAGTAGGAAGAAGGAAACTTTCGAAGTTGAATATTTCAATGATACAGTATAGCCAAGGACCTCGATTAATGTAGGCAGTTCCACAAAAAATTGTGCAACCAATAAGTAGATGGTGGAGAAATCCCATAAATGTTGTCTATTTCCGGAGATATAGGAAAATTTTCAATTTTTTTGATAGTTTCGAAAAACCCAAAGGCACCTTCTCATTACCACTTTTGTACCTTTACAAAATGGCGTTCAGGAAATCTCCGTACAATGTTCCGTGGTCATCAAATGTCTGTTCAAATCTTGCAAGATCTGAAAAACTGCACTTGCTGCAAGGACTGTTTCAACTGCTAGTTATTTGTACAGCGAGTACTGCTCTTGCGTAGGTGTGCACAAAAAAATTCTTTAATTTTTATATTCCAGCAGAATTCGGTTCGTTTCAGTCGGTTTCTGTTTGGAGGAGGACTCGGTTCCAGGCCGGAGTGTTTACGGTTTTTATCTAGGGTGTTTATTATCTTCGATAGTCATCAAAATCAGAAGAAGACTTTATGAAAACATGGGTTGAAAACTAGTTTTTGTTCTCGGGACACAGAACATTCAATTTTTGACATTCGTCTTATTTAATAATAATAATTATTAACATTGTAAAAGTAGGAAGATGAAAACCTTCAAAGTTAAATATTTCAATGATACAGTATAGCCAAAATAAGGATAAACAGCATGAGGACCTCGATTATTGTACGCAGTTGCACAAAAAATTGTGCAACCAATAAGAAGATGGTGGAGAAATCCCATAAATGTTGTCTATTTCCGGAGATATAGAAAACCCAAAGGCACCTTCTCATTACTTTTGTACCTTTACAAAATGGCGTTCACAAAATCTCCGTACAGTGTGTTCCGTGGTCATCAAATGTCTGTTCAAATCTTGCAAGATTTGAAAAACTGCACTTGCTGTAAGGGCTGCTTCAATTGCCTGAGGCAAATTTATACAGCAGGCCTTGTTCAATGCAAAAATCAGACGATGAATAAAAATGTCATGAGATTGTCTCGTTTCCATGTGAACCATCCTGTAAGAGGATTGTACAAGAATGAGAATATTTGTAAATAACTTGTCTTTCAGTTAAATTGTTAATTTGTCTCAATGTCCAGCTTCCCGCAATTATAATTTTGGCGGACTATATTCCAGGCCAGAGAGTTACATGTTCAACAAACTAGCTCGAATAAATCAAGTGACGACAAAAAAAAATGTTCACTACTAATAATAATAATCAGGCAAGTCTTTTATTGATGGACTGAAATTTTTTTTTATATTTATACTAAAACGTACGGAGAGGTAGAGTAAAACATTATCCATAAATACCTTTCAGTTTTGTTGGATAGAATAATGTGAAAAATATTTTCATAGAACTAAATCATTTATCCCACATAATACAAGACATCAACTAACGGATTTTTTGATTTCAGATATGTGTCCCAAGCCAAACGACACCGGAACAGTTTTAAGTAGAAAATCTCACGTGGAGGACTTCGATGGGGTACCAGCACTGTTTTCAGTCCTCACTGAATCCCCTGATGTAATGAAACGTTGGGATACCAAGACGTTTCCTGTTGATATCGAGTATAATCATTACGGGGTGAAGAAACAATTCAAAATAAAAATGCGTAAGTACAAAAAACTACTAGTATTGATCATTTTTCCGATTTATAAATTCTCACGTCTGAAAACATCAAAAAGAAATGGTTCTTACTCTCCCGTTTATAATTAAATCGTTGATATCTTTCTTGGTTTCAATTTTACGATATCATTGGTAGAAAAAACAAACCTTAGCCTGTTCCCTGTTACCTTATCTCAGAAATGAATTGAAAAATAAGGATAATGAGTTATAAGGGTAGATTTATACATCATTGTAAAGGTAATTCAATTTTGACCGTAGCAGTGCAAAGTTTTGTTTTTCAATGCAATCATATAAGATTCAACTTACATATGCATTTGCTATTTCTGTAAGACAAGGGCACATCTATTTCTTATTGTCATTTTTATCAAAATGAGAAATGCATTTTTCAGACTGACTACTTACTGCAGATAACAAAAAACACAACACACAACCGAAGAATCAGATAATCTTTGAATAATCGTATATTGACTAGATGAAACAAGGGTTTGAAGATGAAGGTTACAGACGATGACGTTGACAATATAGTTCGCCTTCTTCCCAGCGAGCACAAAAACATCTCAGAGATGTTGAAAGTACGAGATTTCGAGACATTGAACCTCCATTGCGATGTTCTGTTCACACATGAATAGAACTATTATAGAACAGCCAATGTCCGCCGCAGGCGGCAATTATCGAGATGTCCTTGATATGTCACAAAACTACCTTCTCCCTAGTTCTTTTTAAAGCCTTTTCATGGACACAACAGAACATTTTCAACGCGTCTTGCGAACATTAAATCGCTGTAAAAAAAAACATTTTCGAGGTACTTTTCTGAAGCCTTTTGTCAAAATGAACTTTTGCATTAGGATTCCATTTCCCTTGAATGAAAAAATGCATTGAAAATAGATTGAACATAAAAATATTTTCTTGATATGAAATTACCTTTTTAATCGGTTTCTGAGTAGTGCTTACTACACACAGACATATAATTGGAAATAGGTTTCCCAATTTTTGAAATGTTCTCCACAATGCATAATTTTGCAACTGCGGAGAAGCTGTGTATTGATGAATTCGTACTTTTATATATTGATTATACTGAGGCACCGAACAACACATCTTGCATCTGATGGTCATTATTACAAACTAAATAAGTCTTCTAACACAATAAACTTCACCAAATTCCTTTCTGTTTGTTAGCAGCGTGATGTAAGCGTGACACGCTGCAAACGCGAATGCCAATTGCGAACAAGAAGAACAAAATCGAAAACAAATCCGAATTCATCGTATTTGTGACTTAAGCATGAGACGTTGTGGTGGGGCAAACAAAGAAAGGGCACAAAAGAACAAAAACAATACTTTCAATATCCTTCTAAGACCTCTTTGGGAAGTGCATATTACGCCTCAAAAAAACATCCTCATGCCTACATTTCTAAAACATTCCAAAACATCCCAGGGATACCTCTCAGTAGGCAAACAAAGAAATGCCACAGAAGAACAAAAACAATACTTCAATATCCTTCAAAGACCTCTTTGGTCAGTGCATATTACGTCTCAAAATAACATCTTCATGCCAACATTTTCAAAACATCCCAAAACATCCCAGGGATGTTTGTGCTCGCTGGGTTCTCTTTTTGTATTTCTGGGAACTCTAAGCATTACGCTGATGACTTCAGAATTTGCTTCCGTTATTCCAGTATTTTCTTTTACTTGTCAAGTTCATAATGGCTGTTTAAGTAAATGTAAAATGTGATCTGGATGATTTTCTTGTCAACCTGATGAGTGAGTAGTGAGTAACCTCACTTTTACTTATTTCTAAATTCACAGTTAACATTTTCGAATTTCATGATGTTTTTTTCAATAACTAAAAGTTGATTAACTTTCACTAATTTTCTAATTCAAATTCAACTTTCTTCAAGAATGAATTTCAAAAAATGATTTCAATTTTCCATCAGGTCTTTTTCAATAGCTAAAAGCTGATTACTTACTTACAGCTACGCTACGCTACGAAATATAACATTTCGTACTATTTTGGTACATTTACACGCGCACACAGCTAAGTAACTCTCAATTCACAGAGACAGCCGAACAAGAAGTGATCCCCACGATACCTGACGTCATCACTTTGAACTGCACAGTGGCGTTTTGGGCGCAATGCATGAGCTGGACCAAATGCAGGACCAGCTGTCAGTCGATGGGAGCCTCCAGCTACAGATGGTTCCACGATGGTTGTTGCGAGTGCATCGGCGAATACTGTATCAACTACGGTATCAACGAAAGCAGGTAATTTGTGGACTATCTACAGTGTGTCCCACTTACCATGCTCACCATGGGTATCTTTTTAACGGTGAGAGATACGAGGTCGGTTAAATGACACCAAATGTGGAGTTTGTCAAGGCCAACTATAATGTGAAAAAATATTTTGATAAAATCTATTCGTTTTTGTTTTATAAGCAAAAAACAGATTTTGATCATTTTCATGTCTTCTCCGTAACTTCTTTATTTATGAAAATATTCAAATAGGAATTTCACATTCTCATGGCAGTTTTTCAAAGTGATTTTGAAAAAAATATGAAATTTATACCAACTCTTCTAGAATTAGAGATATCAGCACCAACTTTAGTTTTCCAAATGTAGGTCAAAGCTCACTATGACTTAGTTACAAATAACTTTTTTTTCTCTTACAGATGATATGTCACAGTAATAGCTTTTTGTTGATTACAACGGAGTTATCGTCATTTATACAAAAACAAAAAGTTATTTAGAAGCCGCCATCTTGAATTTATAAATTTTAACAAAAAAATCATGATCTCCGACCTCGAAAACCCCCACTTACCCATTTTGAATGGAATCGGACCAAATCTTGGTCGCCATCTTGGAGCAGCCATTTTTTTTAATTTCAACAAAAATTCCATAACTAAATTTGGCAGGTGTTCATAATTTCGGTGACAATACATTATGGAATTTTTGTTGAAATTGAAAAAAATGGCTGCTCCAAGATGGCGACCAAGATTTGGTTCGATTCCATTCAAAATTGGTGAGTGGGGGTTTTTGAGGTCGGAGATCATGATTTTTTTGTTAAAATTTATAAATTCGAGATGGCAGCTTCCAAATAATTTTTTGTTTTTGTATAAATGACGATAACTCCATTGTTATCAACACAAAACAAATGACCTACATTTGAAAAACTAAAGTTGGTGCTGATATCTCAAATTCTAGAAGAGTTGGTATAAATTTCATATTTTTTTCGAAATCACTTTGAAAAACTGCCATGAGAATGTGAAATTCCTATTCGAATATTTTCATAAATAAAGAAGTTACGAAGGAGACATAAAAATGATCAAAATCTGTTTTTTGCTTATAAAACAAAAACGAATAGATTTTATCAAAATATTTTTTCACATTATAGTTGGCCTTGACAAACTTCACATTTGGTGTCATTCAACCGACCTCATATCTCTCACCGTTAAAAAGATACCCATGGTGAGCATGGTAAGTGGGACACACTGTTTACACTCTACGATGCGTGTTTTTCACTTGGACTTGATTTATTTAGGAAACACTATAATTCAGAATTTCTTTCCACGCCCTGTATGATGATTTATTTCGAGCGATTTTGTTTTGAATGACCAGTTATCTTCTTCTTAACACTGGTTTTGCATGAAAACCTCTTTTATACAAACCGTGTGTAGGAATTATAGGGTGTTTATTTGTAATTTGTAATACCCTGTAGAAGTTAGAATTGAAATTACACTTTAGCCTTATCTTTTTTCAACATCCCATTATCTTTCCTATTACTCCAGACTATCTGCTATTTCATTAGAATTTTGTTTCATTTTACTGTCTTCTTCAATTTGTTCTTTGTTTTTTGATAAATAAGCCTAGATTTGCACATTTAATGATATTTTTGATATTTTTTTACAATTCACTTAAAATCAGGTATGCCCCGCCCTGAAATATCTTTCTGGCTACGCCACTGTTTCCACCGAACAGTCAGAGAAGAAACACGTGTTTTAAAAGTGTATGGATTTTAATTATTCATATCGACGTAAATACGGAACCTTCATGAACTTATTTATACCCATTACCTTCCAGGGATATTTTTTCCATATATTCATAGGTTTTTTTTGTAATAATTAGTCTTTCTTAGTAACCCAAACACTGGGGAAAATATTGAGAAAAAATTCTGGCTGGTTTTTTGAAGAAAATCGGTGTACTCAAATGAGTACGATGGGAACTCGAAATCTTTAATACTACAAGAAAGTGTTTGGTATTCCAAAATTGCATCACAATCCAGCTCTCCAGGTAATTGCCAGAAAGCAGCAGAATACCTATACTGATTTTTATGTCGGCCTCGGTTACCACAAAACTATAGGCGTTTTCGGAAACATACTCGGGTTGACTCGATCCCTAACCTGCACGTTCGTTTACCTAACCCGAGTAACATACCCATGTTCGGAAATTTCGGTGTTACTTACTCGATCACTAACTCGGGTTCATGTTTCGCAACCCTGCTCCAAAGCAGGGTCAGCCAGAGTTACTACCTTAGATCATACACTTACTACCAGAGAACTACTCACGATTCATGTATTTCTAAGGTCACTTCAGATATTATTTGATTTCATCAATTGAACAAGAAGTGAATTATGTTGAATAGCATTAGTTTGATGATGAAAATACACCAACATCATGAGCAGAAGCAATATTCATCATTTCTAGAACAATAACAACGTGTATCTTTCAAGAGTTTAGTGGTATGTTTTTAAAGATTTGGAGAAATTGGTCCGAAAATATTGATATCGTTAAGCAAACTGAAAAAATTGCATACAGCTGTAAGAAATCAAGAAGTTCTATTCGAAGAGGTATAAAGCTAACTCAATAAAATAGTAACCTGATAAGTTCGTAAACTATAGTATTAGGATAAGTGATCCGACTGATCCATCACGTGACCCGTTCAGATCGAGTCGACAACCCAGAGTAAGTTTCCGAAAACGCCTCATGGATGTTTTTTTGTGAAGCATAAGGGTTTGATTTTCATCAAAAAATCTCGCGAAGGTCTGAACTGGACTATCGTTCTTTACATCCACTATCATTTCTCGTAATCTTTCTTCATAATCCTTCGTTCTGCATATCATACTGATATCCATGTAATTCCTTGTCGTTGTCCACTTAGGCTTCTCCTCCAATTTTCAACTGCCTTCATTTTTCGAAGTTTTGAGTTTCTTGAGAAAAAGTACTGATAACAGCACGTTTGTCGTCGGTGATGTCGCTATCGTCGTTAGCCATCGCTCCTTGACTTCTAGCAGCTTCTTCTTCAGAAGAAATTCCACCATTCGAGGAACACGGAATTCCAACTCCTCAAGGAATATCATTGAGAAAGTTAGATATACCTGGGGATATACCAATATCGTTTTGCTCAAACTCTTCTCCAACTGGTTGAGTGTGGAACAATAATTATTCGAGGCTCACGGTTTTTTTTTAAAATGCCATCCATTCATTCTCCTAACGTTTTGAAACGCTAGCCACAGAAGCACTTCGAAAAAAATTGTTGAAAATTGTTATCTATTTCGAACCTAGTTCTGAAATGAAATTCCGAAATTTCTCACACTTATCTTCCCATTGTACCCAAATGAGTACACCATTGTTTTTCGTGGTTATGTGAAGGATAATGAAAAAATAAGTGTCAGGATAGTATAAGCAACTCTAATACATACATGGTCAGCTGATTCACTGAGCCAAATGAAAAATTTCAACGGATGCACTGCGAAAAGTAACTCTTGAAAACAAGAGATGATCGACATTCACGACATTTGTGAATACATCTCAAAATTACGAGTTTCTTGTACATTGCAGAATACTACCACGACATTATTTTGTGGAAAAATTTCAAAAGATGTAGATAGTAAACCATAATGCGCAGTGTACTCAAATGAGTACAGTGGGAGGTAATGGGCTAACAACTAAAAGATTTCAAGAGGCGGATAAGAACCACGGTAGATTTTTAATTTTTCTCAAAATGTCACTGTTTTATTTTTTTTTTTCATCCAGATGTACTGCGTGTTGGCAAGGAAGCGAAGAATCCACAAAAATCGATGAAGATGATTATGATTATGGGGAACTCGAAGATGAAGATATAGATGAGTGATACATTTCGATACCAAAATGCACTGGCGAAAAAAATCAATGCCATAGATTCATCCAATTTTTCATCTAAATTTTCTCTTCTGAACCGTCCATCCAATTTTCCTGTGGGTAACAGTCGCTTCAAGAAAAGTTATTTGTACTTGTTTTCAGAGATACAAAATACAAGGTGTCCTAGAACAAAGTACCACTACAGGGTGAACTAGAAACCAAAATAGGCCGATTGAAATCAACTCACCTCCTTAGGAAAATGCACCACATTGAGCCGTTAGAGGGCGTTCAAAAATAATTTTATTTACAGATTTTCTTGAATAATGCAAAATCCTTTAAAGGTACTACTCCAAAATTCGTAGGGCAATTTACTATAGCGAATACCTGACTCTCTGTATATTGATTGATTTGGGACGACATGTTTTTCATGCATATTCACTATTATAGTAAATTGCTCCACGATTTTCAGGGCAGTACCTTTATAGAATTCCGAAATATTGAAGAAAATCTGGAAATAAAATCGTTCTTTATTCCCTCTCACGGCCAATAACAGTGCATTTTAGAGGTTTGTTGATTTCAATCGGTCTAATTTGGTCTCAAATTCACCATGTAGAATTCATGGTACGTTTTTCTGGGACACCTTGTATTATGAATGAAATATATAAATCAATAGAGAAAAAAAAAACAAAGTCGTCTCCACAATTTTTGATGTATAATCAGGCAGTCAATCCTGCTTCATTAAGGTTGATACATGTTTCGGCCATTCGAATGGCCATCTTCAGTCAAAAGAATATAACAAAGTGTATCTACAATAGAAAACCAAACATGATTTTTTTATATAAGAAAAATTGAAAATGGAAAAGACAACAGTTGTAAATTCAAATTGAATTGATTAACAAATTTCAGTTAGATCAAAGAGCAACAGTGATTTTTTCTTATATATAAAATCTCGTTTGGTTTTCTATTGTAGATACGCACTTTGTTATATTCTTTTGACTGAAGATGGCCATTTGAATGGCCGAAACATGTATCAACCTTAATGAAGCAGGATTGACTGCCTGATTATGAGGAGGAGAAATAGAGAAACCCCCTTTTTTTGTCATGTTAGACTTGCCTTCTTCTACTTTTCTTCTCATTTTTTTATGACCAATATTCAATTTTAATTATTTCACGTTGGAAACATGAAGGAAAGTGAACTCATCTTTCTCTCTATTGAATTAATTAAAAAAAAAAAATGATATAGTGGGGTTCTTGAAGATATTGTGAATACTTTTGAAAAAGAAATCGCCTAAATGGCTCAAAAAAATATTGCTTTGAATTATTTCGCCAGAGTTATCGATATTTGTGGCTTTTTGTTATGAAGGAAAGCTATACTTCATATCTTTGCAAAATTTGTGAGTTTTTTGTTGTTGTTTATGTGGAATTGAAAACATCGTTCGATATCAGTATTGCATATTAAATCGATAAACAAATATTAAGTAATTCTATTTATTTTAGTAATTGAAATAATTATGAATAACTCATTAGAAAATAGGGTGTGTACAGTAAAAGTATATGTTGTATGTAAATTTTTGTATATTTCAAATTGTTAATGTAAGTATATTAATGTTCATAGTTTGTATTTTGTAATTTTTATACGAATATGATATAAATAAAGGAATATGAGTAAAAAAGAAGAATCCACTATGTATATCTGTTTGTATAGTCAGACTATTATTTCTCAGATGTTATCAAAGATCCGATAATACAGGGTAGTCCAGAATATTGTACATTAATTTTGTATTTGAAAATTGGTTTATATAAATCTGGACCACCCTGTATATTGTCTTCGTTTTCCTGTAATGTAAACGAATCCTGAATAATTGACAACAACAAACAGACTTGAAAATGATTTTTTGTCATGATCCTACATGAAGTTGATGAAAATTGTAGAGAGTATTACAAAAATAAATAAAATACGATTAAGTCATCTCTTTCAGAGATATTTGGTCCATTTCACATCGAAACATGAATATGAAAATATTAATTTTATACAGTGTGGCTCAGTTGAGGCTGAAGCACATTTTATAAAATCCACATTTTACTTTCAATACATTTTCAGGGCATGCTGAAAATATCATTAATAATTTTTGTTTTCAAAATGTTGCCTTTACTACTGGATTGAGAACTCAATAATTTCAGAATTTCAGATAATGAAATTCGTCTCATAACATCAAAAAATTTTTCGAAACTCTTGCATGTGCTCCTTCCTCAAGTATGCTACACTGTATGTACAGGGCTAGTTTTATTAATGTGAACCCCTCTTAATCTTTTTTCTTTTCCACCCATCGAAAAAAATCTGATTTTATACAATTAGTTTTCATAAAGGTACCAATTATAGTGACAGTGTTGCAATATCTCTTCAAATATACAGGGAATTCAGAAAATATATATACTTTTTATATGGATTTCGCTGTATAGTTTGATAGATATGAATCCTTTATATCATATATTTAAAATCAGGATGAATTGAGGAATTCAAATCTATCAAACTATACGGCGCATTCCATTTGAAAAAAATATATGTTTCTGTATCATTGTGAATATGAGTGAAATCTGTATGAAAATTGTATAAAATCAGCTTGAAATTTTTTCAATGAGTGTGAAACAAAAAAGATTAAGGGGGGTTCACATTAATAAAACTAGGCATGTACAAGAAAAACATAAGTGAATAATAACACGAATCAGAAATGAAAATATAACCTTGCAATAGATACATAAACACAGATCACAGACATCCAAATCCCTTTATAGTCCAAGAGCCTACTGCAAATTTCGGCCGACATCTGATAACGATAACGAAATTATATATGTCTCAAAGGCATGTGACAGCATTATAGTTTATCGAATAGCACCTGTGCCAATCACTATCCTAAGCAAAATGGTGGAAACATTACACTCTCCTGTGCGCAAATTTGCACTCGATTTCGCGATTTGATAACGAGATAAGAATTATGCCAACCGATACCATCAGTTGAATGGTAGATTTCAAAAACTTAACTGTTCCACCCCTCGGTCTGAGCCAAATCCACGGCCCAGCGATTTATTTGTTGCCATTATTCCGGACGTACTATCGTCATGTGATAACAAGTTGAAACAAGAAGCAAATGAAAGGGGATGATATCGTCTTTACGATATCCAAATGTGCCTGATTCATAATGATATAAGTTAGTGGCAGAGCGTCAATACTTTCCACTCTTTCCAGAATATTTCGCTCCCTCTAAAGATAATATCCGATGGACCAGTGTGAAACTCAACATGTGGATTACAATACTTGTAGCACCACATTAGTTTCACACTGGTCCATCGGATATTATCTTTCGACCAGGGCTAAATATTCACGGAAATTAGATATTCGCAAAAGGGACATTTTCCCTTTCATTTGCTTTTTGTTTCAACTAGTTATCACATGACGGAAGTATGTCCGGAATAATTAGAGCAAAATAATTCGTTGTGTCGTGGATTTGACTCAGATAGAGGGGTGGAACAGGAAAGTTTTTGAGATCTACCATTAAATTGGTATCGGATGGCACAATTCTTATCTTCGATATCAAATCGCGATATAGAATGCAAATTTCCGCACAGGGAAGTGCTATTTTTTAATAATTTTGCTCAGGATAGTGATTTGCACAGATGCCATTTGATGAACAACAATGTTTTTACATTCCTTTGGGACATACAGTGTGTCCCAGCTGGAACTTGTCACCCCCCTCCTAATCTCCGACGTCGTTAAAAAAATTGAAAATCACTCGGACAGGTATCGATTTCAATTTGGCGGGAGACAAATTTTTCTGCAATAATTATCATATTCCAAAGTTGAAATCTTGAAGCGTAACGGGCATCAACTCTCGATTTTCAAATGGAACACCCTGTTATTTCATTGAATTTTCAGATTCTCCCTGAAGACCTGCTGTCATCAATGTATCACAGTTTTGTTTGCAGAAAAATGTGTCCCCCGCCAAATTGAAATCGACCTCTCCGAGCGATTTTCAATTTTTTTTAACGACATCGGAGATTAGGAGGGGGGTGACAAGTTCCAGCTGGGACACACTGTATATAATTTCTTCATCAGATGACAGTAGAAATCTGCGGCCGGCTTTCTTAATATTACTATCAAATCCGAGAACAACATTGATATACATATTATTCACCACCCAATGATCAGTCAGTATCCACTATATTATTTCTCCTTAAATGGAGAAAAGTGGAGGATACAAAAAACGAATCAGTATTCTCCGCCACAAATTTTATTTTCTCGAAAAACATCAAAAATATGACAATAGATTGGAATATCTAAGTGTCTCTGGAACGTTATAGGGATTTCTTTCAAGCGAAAAAAAAAGTCGGCGTTTTTTTGAAAAGGTTCAATAATTTTTTTCAAAAAAAAATTATACCATATTCGCATTGTCAAGGAATATCTCTGCAAAGTTATTCTTTTTTACAGAAAATCGGTGAGCTTCTTCATATACAGATTTCCAGAGACAACTGCTAATTTAAATCTAGACACTCATGATTCCTTTGTTTTTCGAAAAAATTCATTTTGGATTCTTTTTCTGTTCTAAATCATCTGAAAACTCTTGTGATAAGACTGATAGATAATTTGTGCGATCAGAAACCACGAAAAATCAGATTTATACCTTGTAAACTGATTAAGAACAGCATTTTTCAAAACCAGAACGTCAGTAATATTCTTGATTCAATAAGATGGTCCACCTCCATGTAAAATGTTGAAGCCAAATTTACGAAAGCCCAAAGTTCCCAAACCATTCCCAGACCTCATTTTTCAGATTGGTCACGTGATACATTATAGACGCATGCGCATTCCCTCGTAGAAAAACTGATCAGAATTCTGAATCTTGAACCACCCTGTATCTGTTCCGATTAAATATCAGTAAATTGTAGTTAATCAAAGCCGTTTTGACCGATAATGAATAATTTCGACCCAAAAAAATCTTTTTCGATAGACCCCACGTGTGATATCTCGATAAAATCAGCTCTTCAGGGAGAATCTCAAAATGCGATAAAATACAGGGTGTTCCATTTGAAATATCAATGTTGCTACTACTTTCTAGCAGAAGCGGCAACACTGCATTGTCGAGAATATCTTAAATGAGCGTATTCTAAAATGTAAGCATGCACATTTTCATGGATTTCTCCCGACTGATTCTCGATATAAAGATAGTGTAAGCTACCCTGTATATCGAGAACATTGAGAACCTAATGAGAATTCACCTATGTCGGTTTGGGGAAATATTGGCCGATACTTTTTTCTGTCGGAGGATCATCGTTATCGCTATCTTCTTGAGGCTCTTGCGATTCCGGTAAACGTATGAACGGCAAATGTTCACTGCCACTCCACATCGAGTATAAATTCGTGTGAAGTCTTATCGCTTCCTGAAAAACAAAAAAGCACGAAGTTTTAATGAGTTTCGACCATAGCCATCTTTGAAGAGGAAAGCTGCGGTGAGCTCAGTCTGGCAACACTGTTCGAAAGGTCTACTTCCAGTCATTCGCACAAATGCAATATTTGGGTTGTGGATGTAACAGAGTGATTGTTTTTAGTTTTCAAGAGTGAATTGATGTTATCAATGTGAAATATTGTTGGAAGCCAGTGAAAAGTGTCAGGAATATTCTAGTGATCGAGTTATAAGTGAAAGGGGGTTAGTGTGTGTGGGTGTGTGAAAGTCTCATCAAAAATCGTTTTTGAATTGACGTTTTGTTTCATTTTGTCTTTATTCTGGAAGCAAAGTGAGTAATTTCAACCTTCCTCACTAGAATATGCCAAATTTTTGCTGTGTGACAAGGTGTCAAGTCAAATTACTCTTCGGAAAAGACACATTTTTCGATTTTTAAATTTGCTAAAAATGAAGAACTGCGAAAAAAGTAGATATCTTTGATACCTCGTAGAAATTGGTCCCCATGTCAACATTCCGCAGTGTGTGCAAGTCATTTTGTTGAAATAGATATTATTAGATATGATACATTTCCTATCAAATCATGTTTATACTGATCCTTTTATACATAAATAATGATTGACGGCATAATTCGATCGAAAAATTAACTGGAATGTTTTATTTTTGAACATAAAAAATAGTACCTTCTGAAAACGGACCCTCTTATGACGTAGAAACCTCATCTCGCCATAGTTAAAAGAAAATACCAAACGCCCGACGGAGACTGAGGCAACTGATATATTAATTCTTTCAACTGTGATCTCGCGCTAATTCACTCTGTCAGAAATCATGTATCATTCATCTCTGTCTGGAATAGTCTTGTTTCAGTAGTAGGGTTTTGACGTCACATCATCGCCTCGTTTTCAGAGGTCCGAAAAATCGGGGATTTCAATAATTTTTTATAAAACGTAGGGAGCTCACAGCAAGAAACGGTTTGCATTGGTGAGCTAGTTTGGGTGAGTTCTATCGAATTATGAAATAAAAATTTGTTTTGATATAAGCCCATTGGGAAACATTTGCCTAACGCAGCACATTTTACCATCCTTCCATAACAGAATGGGGGAGACCACTGATTTTTTAAAACGACCAGTGAATGAATTTTGAATTTTTTCAGTCATGCTAAGACGATGAAAAAAATAAATTAGAATATGTCCATTTCACAACACACAATTTC